AGTCTGGGACCAAACGGCAGGCAGCAAGTTGTTGAGATTAAAAAAGCTAGAGCCCCAGTAAATTAAGGGGGGGGGGGGGGGAAGGTAAGCATCTGAAAATCATGTGCATGGGAAATCAGAAATGCAGCTTGTTTGTTTAGGGACCCCCTCGTAGAAAAGCTGAAGTAGACAAGTGTTGTCAGTTTTGACCCTACAAAAACCGACCTTCATTTCCCTATCTCATCTCTGCCTGATCTTGTTTGACAATTGAGGAGGAAGACTGTTTGAATTTAGTAATGGCCGTTTGGCAATGGAAGCATTTATTTCACTTTTTTCTCACAAGTTCTATTCACATAAAAGAAAATCAAGCTTAACCCTATTTATGTGTACTAACTAATTAAATTGGTATAGTATTTTTTATATAACTTGAATAATTGATTTTAAATTTTAAAGGTGAAAATTATTACAAAAGACATTCTAAATTTAAAATGTAAATTGTAAAATAGATAGGGAAAAAAGCAAAAAAAATAATAATATATCAGCCTGATTAGGTAAATAAATGATGAATTCCGATGCTAAATTAGTATATAATGGTCCCAGAAACGTTGGGAACGTATGAGTTCCCACGTAGGTACATCTCTACCATCCAATGTTGGCTAGTTTTCACGTAAAGATGATTCATAGCTGATGCTGTATTTCCACAATAATTTTATAAATAGAAGAATGTAATTTTCCACTCTCTTTCTCAGCTGTAATTCATATATGATTTTTATTTTTGTATTGGTCGATGCATTTATATATTTCCAAACTATATATATACATCAAAACATAATTATATAATATCACGACGCACATTAATTTAAAGTTTTTATGCAAAATCATAAACAATAAAAATTATGGATAAAACAATATTCTGGTTGAATGCAAGAGATTACGAGCAGAAACTTCAACTGCTCTGGCGTCTAGGCAAGCTGTTCTGCGGTCTCAGTCCAGGTTGGCGGATCGTACGGGGTGTTGGACAGCTCCGGAACGTGATTGGTTCAAAGTGAACACAGATGGTGCTTGCCGAAATGTTCCTAATTTAGCTGCTTGCGGTGGTGCTATTCGCGATCATGAAGGAGCATGGCTGGCAGGATTTTCCAAATCCATCGGTTCTTGTTCAGCTTGGGAGGCCGAACTTTGGGGTATTTTTGAAGGACTGCAATTGGCGTGGGATATGGGGTTGCGCCGGGTTATTGTGGAATCGGATTGTAAGGAAGCCATATCGTTTCTTCAATCTAGGCGAGGGTCGTGGGAGAGCTACCCCATGTTGCACCATATTCTTGATCTTGTGAACCACAATTGGGAGGTCCGTTTTGTTTTTGCCCCAAGGGAACACAACCGAGTTGCAGACTGCATGACGAAATTAACATGGCATGGCCGTTTGGTCTCCATATTTTTCATGTCCCTCCTGTTGAATTTGAACGAGCTTTATCTGTAGACAATCGAACCAATTTAGTGTCGCATATGTAAAGCATGTTTGATGTTATTATTTTCCATTGAAAATAAATAAATTATAAAAAATTATGAAAATCATACTAATTGTGAACATATTATTGTCAGCTGTTAACATGTTTCATATTATTGTCGGCAAACCGATGTTAGTATTAGGAAGATCATTGTGGGTCATAACAAAAAAGGACTACCCAAAAAATATTTCTGATAAGGAACATGATGGGTCGAACTCTAATTTATTAATTATTACTAATCACACCTCTCAGTATAAAGTGTAACTACTAAATATAAGGGGGGATTGGATTAGTGTGTTTTGCATTATGATGGGGCACAAACAGGTAAGCATCTTAGAACTTTCGGGTTCCCTTTTTTTGCCTTTGGAGGAGGAAAAAAAAAGTTTTACTATCCCTTTTCCACTTTGAATGCACCAAAGCAAAAGCATGGGATTGGAAGTTGTCATTTTCAGTCTGACATGGCCTCAACTGAAAGGGGGGAAACCTGATGGGATCAATTAGGGAATTTAATTTGGAGTTTTAGCTGAATCGAATATTCTCCATAATGTGTTTATATTTTAGACCAGAATGGAGACTAAGGATAATTCAAGCTAGTGCTATTAACTCTCTGCAAAAGGTTTACTACTTGTGAGGATCAATTGTAATGATCAGTGCCTCTTGCATCTCTTCCCATCAACCGGATGAAAACAGATCATTGTTTCTTTCCTTGTTCTTTGACGAACAAGATAAGAATGATCTCTTTTATCCATAACAAGTTGGCAGCTGGTAATTGTTAGGTATATTAAACCCAAAAAAAAAAAAAAACTTGGTGTTCCATTTTCTAGCAAATATTAGTTGCTTGTGATCTTTCCTGCTGGGCTAATTAAGAAGAAGAAAATAGTAAAAAATAGTATAGATTCTGGGAGCTCTAAAACTTTAAAAGGCATAACAAAACTGGTGTTAGTGTCATCAACCCACTGGGGTGGCTTCCTATTAAGGCTGGGGCCACGGAGCTTTAATTTGGTTTTGTGGTAGGTAGATAATACGTACTATGATTAAGGCCTGGAATGGAAAATCTTGCTAATTAAGTTTTTTCATTATTTGCTACTATGCGGTTTCAGGTTCTGGAGTCTTCAAAGCAAAATCAGTAGCACAAAGGAAGTCAAAACCTTGACGGTTCCTTTTAGGTTACAAGCCAGGCCTTAGCGCGACGCTTTGGTGTCTTGAAGCTTCTCAATAAGGGGCGATTATTACTTTTTGGGTATTGAATAAGCAATTTAAAATTAAAAAAAAGGTGGCCTTTTCTTCTGGAGATGTGCAATAACATTCCAAAATTATGACCTTTTGGTTCAACCGAATATCGATATTATGAGTTTCTTGAAATTGTTTTTGACAAATATATTCTCTTGATCTCACCTCCTATTAGTGTTGAGGTTAGCATTGTTTTTACAATGGTAAACTATACAAGGTTTAGACGAATTTCTTTTTTCACCACAAATGTTTAAAAAGTTATAAAACTGTTACAAATGTTATTTAGATAACAAATGACCATTCAACCATCACCATCTATTCTTCGGATAATAAAAGTTTGACGTGACACGTTAATTCATTGTTTTTCATATATTTGTAACATAAAATTAATTTTATTAAAAAATAATTTTCCTTTTACTTTTTTAATCTCGTTTGCTTAAAAAATATTTTTTTCTTAATAGACCAAAAAGACTACAAAACTTAGAAGGAAAAAGAAAATAAGAAGAGAAAACAGCTAAAAAAAATTAAAGATGTATTGTTATTATTGTTTTTATCGTAAAAGCCGTCTTGAATATTTTCGGCGCCTTGAGCGAAAATAAAAAATAAGCTCTGATTGAAGAAAATTTTATTCAATTACTTTAAACAATTAATTTAATATCGTAGAAAATTTATTAAACTTTATCTGAACATTAATTTCATTGTTTTGTTAAGAGAACACTTTAAATACGATTAAGAGAGTAAAAAATTGAATGTGTGTATAAATTATGATATGAAGCTTTATTATATAAATTTAAAAAAAATAAAGAATAACATATTATGGTATCGTTAGATTGAGATTGGAGAAGACTAAGAGTTAAAGAATATTTGGTAAATTGAAAAATAAGATTAGTAAAAAAAAGAGACAAATATGATTAGATTTAATTCTAATTGAATTAACAAGAGATGAAGAAAGGGATGAGAAATTAATAATTTTATGAAATTTTAAAAAATTAGATGCCTTAATTATAAAGGTAGAAATCGAGATTTAAAAAATAGGGCCTCAATTATAAAGGTATAATTGAGATCGTAAAACTTAGGGGTCTCAATTAGGAAGTTAGAAAGTGAGATTAAGAAAACTTGAGGGCCTCAATTATAAAGTTAAAAATGTGGGATTAAAAAAATTAGGAGCCTCAACTATAAAGATAGAAATTGAGATTGAAAAAACTTAAGGGCCTTAATTGAAAATGTAGAAAATGAGATTGAAAAAACTTAAAAGCCTCAATTATAAAGTTAAAAGTGAGATTACAAAATTAAGGGTTTCAATTATAAAGGTGAAAAAAAGATTGAAAAAAATTAGAGACTTTAATTATAAAAATAAAAAGTAAGATTAAATAATATTATAACCTCTATTATAAATGTAAAAAATAAGATTTAAAAAATTAAAAACCTAATTATAAAAATAAAAAATAGAAACCCCAATTACAAAAATTAAAAAATGAGAACCCTGAGCAATCGTTCAGAGTTCTCCCAGATATGTTTATCGTCAATAGTCACTATTGATTTTTAGAAATAATAATTATTTTTCTTATAAACGAAAACTTTAAATAAGATATTAATCAAACCACCATTATTGTTGGCGGTAACCATTCGATGACCAATAATGTCAGCAAACTTCTCCTCTTCATTAATTCTCTCTTTTTATTCGTTTAAATTTAAAAAAATAAACTCAAATTTTATGAAATCAAGAATCAAAGTTTCTAATTAAACTTTATCATATGTTTATTGAGTCAATTTGAATTTTAGTTATATCATTATTTGTAACAGTACTATCATTTGACTGTTAAAATCTTATAACAAATTTATTTAATATGATATTCTCTGTAAAATAGAGAAGAGAAGTCTATTTTGTTCCTTTGTCATTTCATCTCCTTTTCATGTGATTTAGATTTATTAATATGTATTAATTTTATATTTATTGAAAATATATCTTTTTTAGTATGATATATATCATAAAAATATGAATATATACTATTAGTCCCATAAAATTTATTTAGGAATGATTTTATAGTACACAATTATGAGTGAAGAGACTTAAGTAAAAGGAGATGAAAGTAACAAAATAAATTTGTATGGTGCATGTGTTGGTGACGCAGCCTAAATTGAAGGGTGGTGTAAGTTTCGTCTCATCTCCTCCACCAACTCCCAAATCCCAAAGAAGAAGATTGTCCAATGCTCTTTTCAATTTTTATTCGCATTTTACTTCCCCTACTCGGCTATAAATTCCCTTACCAATACTCTCAAAAATCCCCTTCTCCTTCTCATCTCTTCCCCCCTCTAGAATTTAGGCGCTCTTCTTCTCCTCCTTAGGGCTAATGTCCTGCTGCCATAAAGTCAACTCTTATGTTATAGCAGAAAAAGGAAGAATATCTTGTTTTTTGGTGATAGTTTCTACCAAAAATAAGTTTTACTTATTCCACTCTACTGTAAATCTTCATGCTGCTTAAGTTGTTGTTGTTGCTTGAGACTCATGTCTCCAGTTGTCAGTGAAATCCTCCGATCCGGATTTATGATAAATTCCTCCCTCAGACGCAGGACCCATCTCGTTCAATCTTTCTCAGTTGTATTCCTCTATTGGTTCTATGTTTTCTCATGAATAAGCTTTCTGTAATTGCTTGATTTTCACTATTTATGTACATATATAACTATCTGTCCATACTGATTAGCTAGTATCGGTGTCCTGCCGCCTCTGAGGTTTTGTTATCCTGAAATATTACTCATCTTTATTGAAGTTTCAGCCTTGTTTTTGGTGTAAATATATTAATATGGCCTCGTCCAGTGGAAACTCCAATTCCACAAGCTCCTCCCAGCTTCAGAATTTTGGGTCCGAAGAGGAGTACTTGCATCAGATGAGCGTGATGGATCAAAGAAAGAGAAAGAGGAAGGAATCAAACAGGGAATCAGCCAGAAGATCTCGGAAGAGAAAACAGCAGCACTTGGATGATTTAACGGCCCAAGTGGCTCAGCTAAGCAAAGACAATAACCAAATTCTCACGAGCATCAACTTCACCACCCACCACTATTTGTCCATTGAGGCAGACAACTCGGTTCTGAGGGCTCAGATGATGGAACTGAGTCAAAGACTCGAGTCTCTGACCCAAATCCTGAGTTATATCAACGCCCCCACCGTGGTGTATGAAACCGATCAGTGCTTTGAAGCAAGTGGTGACCACAGTTTCAACAACCCTCTCAATCTGCCTTATCTTAACCAACCCATCATGGCCTCTCCAGACATCTTTGAATACTACTGATCCATAATCATCGAACTTATAAATGGATGAAAAAATATGGTCAAAATCCAGGGACGTCTTTACATTGGTGGGTGCTGTTTCATGTTGAAAAAGAGGGTTATTTGCCCCTTTCACTTATTGCTATCATCATTAATATGAGTAAAATATTAGTGTTATTGACAACTTGGCTTGGTAAGATGATGTCAGAGAATTGGCAACTAGCGGGTGAAAACTGCTTAGGGGATAAATCTATGAGGTTTTTTCTTTTTTTTCTGTAAATGGGGACTTAAGATATCAAATATGGTGTGAAGGGCTATGTGGATGTGTGTAATCTGGTCTCTTATATATTATGTTTTCTTCACTTGTTTGGGGTCTTTTGTTTCCTTCCACATGTCATAATTTATGGTGTCATCCCCTCATGTTTGCAAATGAGAGTAATTCTTTTGTCCTTTCTCTCTCTCTTCTTTCCTTCCAAATAACCTTAATTTCAACCTTGAACTGAATTTGGGCTAAATCGTTATTATATATTAACCAATCAAAAATAATATTTTAAAGATTTAATTGGGTACACAATAAAACTACAAAATTTTACCTGAAAAAGGCACATTTAATACTTTTAACCTTGAATTTGCAACAATAATTTCAAAGTGATTTTAATTCGTCATTTTTAGCACGTGTTATTAGTTATAGATAAATCTCCGATATTCGTTAATCTGCTCGTGTCGTGTATCAATTTTTTTTTTATATAATCAATGTTTTTGAACTAAAACGATATTAAATAAATCGTTAAAAAGGGAGGGCTATTAAATATAATAATTATGCATGTCATAAACTTTTTAAATCTATTAAAATAGATGTTTCATGCGTCTAAAAATCCAACATTTTATTCAAAAAAGGAAGCTTTGTTACCCAAAATTTAAAATCCGTGGGTACTGTTCACCAGGCATATCTGCTATTACTATTCAATGAACTGTTAATGGCACATCTGCAAAACTGTTCACACTTGTCTGCCACACTATCATCGTACACTGCTTATGCGTTAAGATCGTATATCTTAAAAAAAAATTTAATAATATGAAAATAAATGTATGAATTTTATCTCCAAAAATAATTTAGTGTCTAAAAATTTTTTAGTTAAAAATTGGTGCATAATGTTTTTAAAGTTATACATTTTTAAGTGTCATCTGTTAAAAATCACTGTTAAGCCTGTGCCTTCTCTCCTCCCCACTTCCCTCTTTTATGTCGTTTAGCTGTGATTATCACCACCACCATTATCGATACAGGCATCGACTCTCGATCAAACTCCCGGCGACCTTTCGCCATAAGCTGTCGCCTTTTTCCGTGGAGAAGTATTCGAAGTTTCGTCATATTTTAAGTCACTTTCGCTATTTTTCGTTCAACCCGTCACCTCCATTCGAACCATCGTCCAATTCCGTTCAAAACCCATCCTCGTTGTCGCTCCTCCGATGTTCCACCATGATAACGGGTTGAAATGAGATATTTTATTTTTTTGAGTGTTTTTTATAATTTCATTAAAAGTTTGGGGTTCTTTTGTGAATAAATTAAGTGTAACCGATAAAACGTTAAACACCAATTTTTTTTAAACGAAAAATTTTTTAGACATCAAACCGCACTTATTTTTGTATTAAGCCAAAAACAAATTATGACCTAATGGTTATGAAGGTCGAAACATTGTTTCTTTTCGTTTCATGTTGCATGAAATGCTAATGGAGTTTACACCAATTAAACTGGAGGCACCCATAAGGCACCCTACAAAGTGGGTGAATTTAGGTACATAAAGTAATTTGTAATGTAGGGCGACATCTCTAAGAGTAAGCAAAGAGAGAGGGGATGTTCTTTAAACTTGGATTAATTCAAATTCGAAATAGTTGTTTAAATTAAACTGTTCATCAATCTAAACTCAAATTGGCTTCTTTTAACTTGGATTAATTCAAATTCCAAATAGTTATTTTAATTAAACTATTCATTAATCCAAACTCAAATGGGCTTCTCTTAATTGCATGCTGGAATAAAAGTAAAAAGTAAAAACCGCAGAAAGAGAATGGGTGTCCATTAATCTATAGTGTCAGCAAAACATGATTACTTCAACAATTATCCATTTGCATTCATCTATAATCCTACTTTTTATTTATTTATGACCTAAGATTTATAAAGAATAAGATTGAGATTTATAAGCCCAATCGTCATCCTCTCTTTTTCAAATGCCAAGATAGTAACTTCCTATCTGATTTGCTTTTAGATATTCAAGCAAAGATAAATGGACATCAGTTCATATATTTTAAGCCTCTTTTTCGGTTGTTCATTTCCTTTTGCTTTTGATGGTAGGAGTAACGATGACAGACACTGTAATACCCATAGCCTATATGTTGAACTTAAATGTTTAATTTTTTTAATAATTTCCTTTTTTACTTTAAATTTTCCCCTTAATCATATTAGTTTATAAAATATTGTTTGATCATTGAAAACTAATATGATTTCAGTCGGTAATTAGACAGTTCAATGTTGTTTATATCCAAGTACAACTTTCTAACACCGCTTGATTTTAAATCATTTAAAATATAATATTTATACTATTCACCCATAAATACGATTAATACTAAAATTAGACAAAACTAAAGAAAATAATTCTAATTATTATTACAAACCCTTTTAAATAAATCTGATAAAGCAACCCAACAAATATAATGTACATGCCACTAATAAGTCAAAGTTAGGATGTCTTATTAATACTATCGGTATGTTTGATTTTGCATAAGATGCGGGCAAGCTTTTCACTTCACGACCTCTACTTTATTCGAACCTACGCATAAAAATCATCACGCGCTAAGTAAAACTTAGTGAGGCAGAAATGTAACTAAAATATAAAATCCATAAAATATAAGCAATCAACTATAATTTAAATAAAAATACTAAAACTTCAAACCCAGCTAGTCAAGTCGTTTTTTCTTCTGAAAACATGAAAATCATCATCTCATGATTTTATCAAAAATCACGTAAGTCAACATTTAATATCATAAATAATTTTTGTTCTTTTCATTCGAACATATTTCAATACTTTCTTTTCAATTTTATGTTCATTTATTTCATATATTGTCATAACTTTCACATTTACTGATATAGTCCAATGTATATGTAAGAGAATATAAGGTACATGAGTTTAAGGTGCGCACTAGGCACAACATGATGCCGAATCATAACTGAAGCTGAGATATGATGCACTTAATGGCATGTCAAATGTACCTACGACTCTTAATGCAACATACAATGGCATGCCAAATTAGTCACCGTATGTTTCAAACGAACATAGACTGATATACGAAATTAACTGTATAGAGATCATCCCCTAATCAATTATGTATAATTTAAGGTGAATTTCTAAACTCATTGTTCGAATTCTAATTTTTAGTCAACTTTCCGTAATTAGCATCCTTAGCTTAATTTCATAATTTTGTAAGCTTAATAAATTGTAGAAACTCATTTTCTTAAAAGATAAAACTAGCAAGAGTTCCTCTCTTATGAGGACTCTTCCACCACCATATCTTTTAAAGCAACAACCACACCAACAAACGTGCAACAACCGAGCAATGAGTATAGTCGCATTAGGATTCTATTGTTAATAGGATTCTAAAAATAGTTAGTTTTTTTCACTATAAATACATGTAATCCTCCCCATTTGTAACACACGATTTACATACAAGATACAGAGGAAAGAACAAAAAAAAAACAAAGGCAAAACTATTGTAAACGATTCGAAAAGGAAATAAAATGTAGCATTTTTTTTACATTGATTCGTTCATTTCTCGCATGTACATGTTATTTTTCTTGAGATTTGGTTTGAATAAACCAAAGCGTGGGTTGCTCCGATGACCAAAAAGGGGTGGAGTTTCAAAGTTTCGAACCTAGATCTACTCCCGATGCATGTTTATTTTTTAAAGTATTTAATATTCCCCCTAAGTCAATCTTAATCTTTAATTTACCTTGAAATTTACCCTTTAATTTTACTTTTATATTAATTTCGTCCCCTATATATATATATATATTTTTTTTAATTATATTTATTATTTATTTACTATATTCCTCTTTTTTTATTTATATTATATTTTTTATATTATATATATCTTATATCATTATATATATATATATATGTATAGATATATTAATTTTTCTCCATTTACTATATATATATTTTTTTCTTAATATTATATTTTATACGTTTTTATATATATTTTCTTAATATTCTATTTTTGTTTTTATTTATTTATATATATTATATTTTTACTTTATTTTTTTTCTTAATATCATGTATATCTTTATTTTTTATTTGTTTTACTTAGTATTATATATTTATTATTTTTATTTGATTTAGTAAATACTACTTTATATGTACACATTATTTTTATTCAGTTTTAATTTCTTTTACCTTTTTTTTTATTTTTTTTACTCCATTAATTTTTTCCCTTTATCCGTGTCTTTGTTTTTTAACATTTTATTCATTTTGTTTATTTTTATTATTTTTTATTAATTTTTACGTGTTTTGTTATTTTTCATTTTTCTTGTTTTATTTATTATTCTCACGTTTGCACACTTGCTATCCTAATTCGATTTTATAATCCGCTACGAATCTAACGTTTTTATCTTTTAAGGGTATTCAAATCAATCAATTGTAAGTAATTTGAATCGGGTCTGTTAAATTTTAATTTAAATTTTGAATTTTCGCAACAAAGACAAATGACAAATTAATTGGTATCGAAAGGACGGTTCAAGGGTGCTAATCTTTCCTTGACCGTAACCGACTCCCGAACCTGACACATTTCTGGTAAAAACGCAGATCAGGTAAGATGGTGTCCGACCAACCTAAATTCGTTTTAAAATGGTCGGTGGCGACTCCAATTCACATTTTTCAAGTCGAAGCCCAATTTCGGGGCCCAACCGAAAGACGGTTACGACAGCTTGGCAACTTCGCTGGGGACAGGTAAGTGAGTCAGACCGAAATTAATTTCTGGTTGTCTTTTTTAGCGAAAATTACAAGTTTAAATTTTAATTTATTTATTCGATTCTAATTGTTTATATTTGATTATTTTTCAAATAAATAGTTGTACTGACGTTTTTTAATGATTTCAGATTTTTCAAAATTTTCATCTCAGGCTCTATACCCGAGCTCCGAACCCTTTTAAGTGGGGGCGAAAGCGATGCCTTCGTGGGAATTTATTCTCCATATGGGCCTAGCAAGTAACCTTCAGGATTCATATACCTTATGACTTCGTGTGAATTTATTCTCTGTATGAGTATAAGGGAATGTTTCCT